ATTTTCTTTTTGCCCTTTTCTTGTTGCCCAAGGGAGGGGTAAGGACCAATGACCCCCCTCCCCCAGATCCGCCAATATGAATTGCAAGAAAATGTAACTCGGTCGGGTACTGTATAAACATTCTCTTTCCCATCCTTCTCCTCCTTCTTCCCTCCTTCTTTTTTTGCATTTCCGATCATACAAAAATCTCCAGACATATTTTTCGCCAAAAAGTGGGGGGACCCGGCCCCCCCCCGGTTCCGCCGGCCATGTGCAATTGCAACATGCTGGAGAGAGCCAGGGTTGCGAATGAGATTGAATTTGAAAAGTTTGGGATGGGATGAACAAGCGCATACCAATATTTACCCAGTCAGTAGGTACGGAGGCTGACTCTGATGCGCTTAGAACATGTATTTCAGTGAGATATTTCCTAGAAAAGGATCGGAAACTATCCCAGTCGGCTTTATTAAAAAGAGATTGTCCGATGAACAGGTGTGAATTTCTGAACAGATAGACAGGACACCTTCACTGAAACAACGGCATGGACGGAAGTGTCATTTGAAACAAGCACCTCAGTGCTGCATTGGTCAGGACTGGAGCAAACAGATGAGGTCAAGCAGATATGACGAGACATTTACACGATCAGGAAAACGAGTTGGTCGATTGACAATTTGTTCGAGATCATAAGATAACTTATATGACAAAATATCAGGCAAGTTAGTAGTTCTAGGATGAGTGAGCCATTGTTGGTGGTGAACATTGAAGTCACCGCAGATCTTATTTTTTGGAGATGGATAAGATTGTAAAGCCTGGTCGATACTGCAGGAGATGGAATCAAGAACTTCACAAGAAAAAGACTAAGGAGAACGGTAAAGGAAAAAAAGAAAAAAATGTCTTTTAAAGCGAGAGCTTAAAACACTTTCGATACTTGTGCATAAAAGCTTGCAATAATGGATAATTTTCATTCCTGATGATGATATAATCAATGTTGAAATATTGAATCCCGACAAGATGGCGTGCATTTCGATATTTAAAGTATGTATTATACTATCTTATCTGAGATTAATCAGTGGACCTTTCGGGATATGTATTGTTACAATAAGGTTTACAATATTCTAAACCCAATTTATTTTATTCACATTTTTATTCTACTATTCTATCATAACTTTGGAATGAAGCTATATCTAAGAGAGGTATTGCAATTGATGTCAGTGATCGTAAATTGTACTGGGTGGAAGATGACGCCTCAATTTATTCCATCAACCTTGATCGAACTGGAAGAACGTTTATTACTTCCAGTGATTGCGGATGCACATTTGATTATCTACAAGTAGATTCAACTAACAGGTAACATAACAGTTTATTATGATCAATTAATAAATGTTGTCTTTCTTGATGTTTTCAAGCAAGCATATGCCTTTTCCAATTTCAATTTTATTTCAAAACCTCCGAAACGCAGAAATGAAATAAAAAAACAATATGAAAACATTCACTTAATTAACAACACATCAAAATACATATGAAAGTCAAACCACAGAAGTTTGATTAAATATTTAAAAAATACGTAAATAAAATAATGAAATGGGTACAGTTTATTTAAAAGTTGTGATAAAAGGTCACTTGAATGGCGTTGCCAGATTCCCTTCAGTTTGTTTACTCAGTTAGCCACAGACTTCTACCACACATAACATAGCAGAATCTTGTCTTTCGCGCATATGCATTGGCATAATGTAGGGTCTTAATGATGTTCACGAACTTAGCGTCAAACGTCATCAAAGGGTCATCTTTCTTTCTGGCAATATTATTAATAATAGTAGTAATAATAATAATAGTAGTAATAATAATAATAATAGTAGTAATAATAAATATATATTATAATAAATAAATAATAAATATATATTATTATTATCATATTATATTATGTTATTATTACTACTATTATTATTATTATTATTATTATTATTATTATTATTACTATTATTATCACTACTGCTGCTGCTGCTACCGCTACTGCTGCTGCTACTGCTACTGTTGCTACTACTACTACTTCTACTACTACTACTATTACTATTACTAATATTACTATTATTATTACTATTATTATTACTACTATTACTATTACTACTACTATTACTACTATTACTATTACTACTATTACTACTACTACTATTACTACTACTACTACAATTATTATTATTGTTATTATTATTATTATTATTATTATTATTATTATTATTATTACTATTACTACAATTACTACTATTACTATTATTACTATTATTATTATTATAGCGTATACCTAAAACTATGCGCTCAACAAAACACTGTATTTACCTTTCTTTGAGGATTTACTTTATATAATTTAACAATGTTACGGCTATCTTGATTTATATTATATGTAACTATTTGTTTCTAGACGTACCTATTGTGTAATTGAGTGTATCTGGTGGTATTTGAATCTGTTTAATCATGAAGCCTACGTGGTCTAATTGTTATGACGCTCACACTGACAGCCAAATGTCGTAGGTTCGAGTTCCGCCAGAAACATTTTAATACACAATTTCCTTATTCATTTATTTACAGGACTATATCTGTTAAGAGATGCTACACGATGTATTATTANNNAAAGTAATTCCCTTCTTAAAGAAATACAGCATTTAAATAAATATCCAATTATCGACAAATTTTGCTACGGACAACTTTTTTCTAAAATTTTAGAAAAAGAAAGCAGTATAGTAGGACACTATGGTCACAATAGAATATTACGTCACCATAATTCGTAATTATTAATTCAAAATTTTATCAATTTTATTTGCCTCATAATGGATTGAAGCTTACGCTGGGGCATTTGAGTGGTTGGCGCACCGGTTGTGGCTTGGAATCCCAACCTTGAGGTCGGGGGTTCGAAACTCTGGCTGTGCAAATCGCTTGTGTCCTTGGGCATGGCACTTTATCTACGGTTGCCTCTCTCCTCTAGGTTCCAACACAACCTGCGCTGATTACTAGCTGCAATTTATGGAATGATAATATAATTTCATTTACTAATTTAATTTGGTGTTTCAATGTGTTCCATATGTGTTTGATCCAATGAACGAGGTGGTAATGTGAAGCGCTTAGAGGCCTTGTAAAGGCATGAAGCGCTATATAAGAACGACATTATTATTATTATTATTATATACAACTTACATCAAGTTACAGATGCAAAGATTCTTGTTATATATTAGGCCTATATTCAAACTATCTTTATAAACTTATAGCAAGAAATGTTTGCTTGAATTCCTCAAAAAATACTTAACATGCTATATTCCACTTTTTCACAATTCAATTAAACAAAATGAAATCATATTGATCCAGAAAAGAGCAGTCAGGATAGTTTATGTGCAAATTCTTGAGACCGGGCCCTACACAAAGTCTCTTCACAGATCTTATTAATGTTTATGTCGGCGTTAGTTTCAACTAAATTTCATTCATTAGAAACCCACATTAGGCCCAAAAATAAAATATACTTGTTTAGCGTCACATCTCAGAAATTTTCAGGGGCGGGGGTGGGGCGGGTTTTTTTTATGTGTAGGCTTCTTAGGCCTAGAGATTTCAAAAACTGCATTAGTGCCAAGCCAAATCTTTTACAAAGGCTATAACAGACACTATTTTACATAAATTATTTGTGTACAATATTTATTTAAATAAACATTGTCGTTTCGTAGGCAACTGCTGTAGTGCTAGGCTATAGGCCTAGGCAGGTAGCCTAGCCATACTTATTAGATAGGGTCTAGCCTAGACCTAGTTAGGTAGGCTAGGCTTAAAACATCTGCCAATTGAAGCGTGTTGTAAACCTATTATTTTTCTTCATAGTACTTTATTATTATAAAACATTGTTTATTATCTAAGAAGAACCAAATAAAAATATGTAAGTCTACGATCAAATTGTCCGCGATCTCTGTCACATGTGTGAGGGAATCTATTTTTTTTCTGTAGAAAAAGAAAACACACCTGGTGGCGCACTTCACATCTTGTTCCCTGTGCTGAAGATGAAAAAACACGATCGTTTTTTCTCTATTATCGGCATTTTTAAGTCGATTTTTAGCACTTTTTTACCCCCCAAAAAAAAAAAAAAAAAAAAAAGCGATGAGCGGTGGCTAAAAATCAGGGTCGGGCGGTGACGCTAAACAAGTACATTTTTTACTTTTTGGCCTTAGCTAATATTTTTTTTTAACAAATTAAAATTCATCTAGGACAAATAGACCAATTCCGTAAGCCACTTGTTAGAAATTCACTGAAAACGGACAGTCTCACTTATATTAGACACTCACGTAAACTGAGCCTCCACAGGGACCATTCGCCTAAATGGCGAAAACGTCAACTGCTTGACCACTAAGTCTCCCTCGGTGAGCCAAGCGCCATTAGAATTTGAGTCCTTTCATTTTAATAATTTGATGACTTTTAATTCATGTATGTTGTCACCGTGATATTGATCACTATAGCCAATACAATCATTATCAGCATCATGATCATAATCATCATCGTCATCAACATCATATCGTTATGGATAATCAAGTTGTGGTTTGTTGAATAGGTCAAACTTCAGAGCTTATATAAGAGGTTGAGATAAAAATAGTATAATATTCATACATTACAATATCAACTTTTGCTATCAATTGACATAAAATTGTTTTTTTAAAGGTATATATACTGGATTAATCATTCTGCAACAAACATGGTCTCGCGCGGTAACTTAGATGCTGACGGTGATATTGCAGACACCATTGCAATCCTATATTCTAGTATCTCTCTAAGTGGTTTGTCAATATCGAATAATGGTAAGTTTTAGACCCTTATATGATAAGTATTATTTACAGATTTTTTCCTCTTTTGCTAAGTTAAGTATACGGCTTGTTAATGAAATAGTTTATGGCTTTTATGGGTGAAAATCTGTATTATTTTGGCCCTTATCAGAATAATACAATATTAATTTGCGGGAGCGTGTGGTGCGGGGCTTGTAAGGCGTTGGATTTCTTGATCGTGAGATCAGAAGCTCAACACCGGCGCCCGTCGCATTACTTGTGTCGTTGGGCACTTTTCTTACGTTTGCCTCTCTCCTCCCAATCAATAACTGCCAACTATAATACACAACGTACAGGGTATCGTGAAATATAAACAATATGTAAAATAAAAGATGTGTTACTGTTATGGTTCGGGGATTGCACCCGGGATTGATGTGGCTCGATTCGTCCCCCAGCGCTCAGAGTATGATTCTTGAACCCAAAATTGATAGACAATAATGATGAAACGCAACGAATACGTGATTAATTCTCTTTCAAACTTTAATAAAGCAATATTCGCAAATGGAACATCAAAAGCAGCGGAAGAAACAGCATAAAAAAACAGCAAAGGAAACAGCAAAAGAAACAGCCCTGCAATATATATATATATAAATATATACATAACTATTATAATGTATCGCACAACCATGAACCATTAATATTCAATTGCATTATATCATTGCGTAATGTATTGACAAAACAACTTTAACAAACATCAATCGGTGAATAATTTAGTGAAACTGCAAGTTTAAGTTAAGCGTAAGAGCGTATATTGGCAAAACACTTCACTTCATACCACGCCAATAGGTAAACAGCCCAGTGAAACTACACTGGCAAAACATTAAATCATTAAACGTTTTTAAACGATTCAATCTTATTTCATGTATGAATTATATGGATAAAGAGCATATACTTATATGTAATTACAACAATCATTAACAATACACTAAGATTAATAATTAAAGTCATATCATTAATGATTATGAACAAGCAATACCTGGATCAATCACTACACAAGTTTCATAACATGGCTATCAACTTAATTGTTCACATATCATGCTGACGATCCTCATGAGTCTAAAATAAAATACATTGATCATTGCTGATACATATAAAATAGGCCATACAGCGCAAGTACGCCACAAATGTATACAAGAAACAATAAAATAATTATAAAAATAGAAAATCCGATTTATTAATTTTTTTTTTATATAGATCGGGGCCCCTGGAGCTCGGGGCCCAGGTTCAAAGAAACTTTTGAACCTGCGGTAGTTACGCCACTGGGAGTATGGGTACCTGGTGGGATAGTGTGGCATTGAAAGTATTAGGTCGAGCTAATTGGTGGGCTACTCCACAAGTAGCAGAGAAAGTTGCACAAAAACGCCGTTTATAATTAGTTCGAACGGCCAAGAAATATTTATTATTTAGCGCATGCGCATTACAAAATCTGCTTGTCGCTTGAGATTGCGTCAACAATGTCCTGCCTTCTGTTGACGCGTATGGAAGAGGCCAAACAGATACAAAAGACTAATGCTGCTTCTTTAAACGACAACGATGACAAATATTCACAATTTTTAAATGGTAATTTTTCCATCATCGATGTTTTTCAGGACAATTACAGAACAGGAAGTTTTGGATCTACTAAATAATTTGAAGACTACCGCCCCTGGTATCGATATTAGTGCTAAATTATCAGACTTCATCTAGCTGGTGTCATCAAACCCTTCCACTTATTTATTTATCTATTTAATAAAAATTCGTCACGATAAAGATATCTACATATTGATCATGGGCGTGATAGAGATGATATGGCAAAAGCCCAACACAACAAGTGGTCATCTTTAAACTTCTGGCCAACAGCTATATTATCAATTTATCAATATCTACTGGCTGTGTTCCAGAGGGCATGAAAATTGCCAAGGTAATTCCCATTTTCAAAGGGGTGATCCGGTGGAATTAAATAATTACAGGCCAATATCAATCTTACCAGTCTTTTCAAAAGTGTTAGAGAAAGTTGTACTTAAACAATACTTCATATCCTTGATAATTCACAATTTGGTTTTCGTGTCAATCATTCAACAACTCATGCCTTATTCATTACATTCAGTAGAAAATATTATCTCCGCTATTCATAACAATAAATATACCATTGAAGCTTTTCTAGACCTGTCCAAGGCATTTGATTTTATTAGATCATCATATACTATTAGACAAATTAAGTTATTATGGTATTAGAGGCATTGCACTAGAGTGGTTCTCTAGTTACCTGTCGAACAGAAAACAATCAACTTTCATAGGAAATAATTCATCTAATATAGTTATTATAAAATTTGGAGTGCCTCAATGCTCTATTTTAGGGCCACTACTGTTTTTACTTTATGTGAATGACTTTCGTACAGTCGTTCGACAAACCAAAATTGTTAAGTTTTCTGACGACACAATTGTGTTTTGTAGTCATAAGAGCCTTAACGATGCTTTTCAAATAATGAATGATAAACTTTTAACATTTCCACTTGATTTTTGCAAATAAACTTACACTTAACGCACAAAAATCAAAATTCATAATATTTAGATTAAGAAATAAACCGGTAAACATGCATTAAAATTAACTATCAGCAACAATGATTTTGATTAAACATGTGCTATAAAACTTCTCGGTGTTCATATATGAATTCTAAACTTTTCACACTCGTGGTAATTATATTTCAACTGGAGTTTCTCATGTTATTGGTGTGTTAAATAAGGCCAAGACGGTATTGCCGTCTTCCATTTTATTAAATATATATGTCTCTGGTTGTTCCACACATAAACTATGCAGTCTTATTTTGGGATATGGCAAACCCAACACTTTTAAATCGTTTATTTAATTTTGCGGAAAAGCTTTAAGGATTGTTTGTAATGTCAACTATTATCATGCATCAATTCCATTATTTATTTCTGTTAGATCTTTAAACATTTTTGACATTCACTGTAAATTCATCGCTATTCTTATGTTTCAATATAATAATAATACTTTTCTACCATTTATAAATTTTGTTTTTCAATGAGTGAGGGATACCAACACTCAATGTACTAGACACAATGGCCACTAACAATACATTTTAGAAGAACTACACTTGGATTAAAGTTCATTAGTTACACGGGTGCCAAACTGTGGAATACCGGTAGTCTTTCTGTCTGTATAAAACAATCATCAAATTTACATTTATTTAAAGTATAACTAATTATTTCATTGAAAAAATGTCACAATATTTCATCTTTAGGTCTATATCTGATTTAAGTACTTAAGTAAATACAATGTATTATTATTATTTTTCTTTTTTGGTAATCTATTTATTTATTACTTATTTAACTTATTTTTATAAAATAATTATTGTGTTTCTAAATTTTAATTTTTGTACTAATTCTTTTCAAGGGTCTCTGCTTAAAATCCTT